TAATGATACGTATTTAAAATTCCCGCCTACTTTAAATTTTCCAGTTAGCGACCGTTATTATAAACATTTTGGTATACGCTATTTACTTGATTTGGCGCCAAACGCGAACAGTTGCACAGTGAACTATGAATTGTGAAGTTGTTATGTGTTTCATGGGCGTATGTTTATAGTGCATCATTGGAGTGCTAGTGACAATTTTGTTTATCTAAAAGCTATAAGAAAAATATTGACAATAATTAATGAGCAGTGACAACTACAAAAGGTATGGATAATTTAAATTAAATTCATTAATCCATTTGCTGTCCAAAGAACCTTAACCTTAATTTTGTCATTGGCGTGGATATTTACTTGCGTCATTGGCGTGGACTTTTTTGTCCACGCTAATGACGGACTATCCACGCCAATGATATTTTGTACGAATAATGATAATAAGATATTTTTATCTAAACTCGGCAGTAAAGTAGTCAAAAATCGACAGTAAAGTAAAAGAAATCGGCAGTAAAGTAGAACTTTAGTACCGATTTAATACGAGCATTGTATGCAAACCATTACTGCTCCTTACTGCTCCTTAGCAGCAACTAAACTACATTCAAATGACATTCGATTCAAATTTTAATGCAGAAGGTGTCTACTGTTTAAAAAGGTAAATAATTTATAATTAATAAATGCGATTTCGGATAAAATTTAATATCGTTACCCTAATTCGCAAAAGACGTAAGTCCACTTTTGAAAAACCGGGTTTTAGTGCCATCTCCTGTTCATGAACCTGCAGGTTTAATATCTACATAAACATTTACAATGGGTAGCTGCAATTTACAGAGACATGGTATCCTGGATACCGTATCCAGGTATGTCTCCTTTTTTTATTAATATCGAGCACTGAGGTAAATTATTTTTAGGAATAATTGAGGATATAAATGGAGAAAACATAACTATTACCTTTATGGCAAGAAGTGGTAAATATTTTTATTGGCCTGGATCAACTGATCGACAAATCTTTACAGAAGCTGGTATATTATGTAAACTTGATTTGCCACCACAGCCAATTTCAAATAGATTTTTTAAAGTACCAAACTCCGAGGAAATTGATAAAATATGCTTAATTCATTAATTTTTAATGTAACTTATAAATAAATATTAAAAATATATTTTGTATCATTATTAAATAATAATAATAAATCATTAGCGTGCCTCTTAGTCATTGGCGTGGATATGGATTTTTGAAAAAGCCCCAAAATTAAAAATTGAGCTCAACAGACTCATCATTTCATAAACTTTATTCATTTCTTATAAAACAGTAGTTTTTCAAAATTTTCTGTAACTGTTTTTTTTTTAAATTTCTTATACTCAAGATTGCTCCTATTATAAGAATATCCCATATAATTAGTTTGCACATTTTAAAAATTATTGTTGGTTTTAATCTTTAAACTTTTACGTTTTAAGAGCTCTCTCTCTCTTTTGCCTTCTCAAGTGCTGGAACCTGACTGATTTTGCTGAAAAGTATTTTTATACAAAATTTTATAAAGATTGGTAATATAAAGGCGATTTAGAGTTAGATTTTTTTTACTTGTTATGCGTTAATTTTGACGCGCAGTGTACTAGGGTGTCCGTTATATATCAAGTTGGGTGTTTTCAGTTAGGTATCGTTTTAATTGTTAGTTTATAGACTAAAAATAGTTTTGAACAAAAGATTTTTTTCCGATGCCGCTTAATCCAGTCCAAATGACGAGATACTTTTCACATTCATTTATCATGGAGTTTTTGCACTTTTTGGATATTGATTTTTTTCTTGTTTATTATATTTATTAACTTACCAAATATTGTTGATTCTACTTTCATTATGATCCTTTTGGATAAAGAAATTTTGATATTGGCGTCAAAAATTTATTTCGTAAATTTTAATCAAAATTGATTTTTATTGTTTTTACCAATAATTTTATTTAATTTATTAACTACTTAATATTTATTCTGTATGTAATGTTAAATTTTTTTATTATACGATCTTCAAGAACTTGTACCTGTACTTAAATGTAACAAACTAGCTAAATGTGATATTTTATACTTACTTGCTATTTATATTGTACATATTGATTAAATTGTTGTATTTATTAGATAAAATTTTTTGTCGAAAGTAATATCATAAGGGCATCTAATTTTTCCGAAAAAAATCGAAAAAACACGTTGCTAATATTACTAATATTACTTAGCATTGTGTTTTTTTGATATTTTTGACAGGAAAAATTAGATTCCCGAATGGTATTTGACAAGACTATTTTATGAGTAAGTTATTCTGCATACACATAGCTTACAACTACTTACCTATTATACATGCATACATAATAAATATTTAATCACAAAATACTACAAACTTAATTATTTATGGTACAATTAAAATATAAATTGCAATTTTGGTGACAACAGCTGTCAAGTTTTGCCGCGGGTAAACTCGAAATAACTGCTGACAGGTGCTGTCATACAGTTTTTCCACCTAGTGTGTAATTCAAAATTGCGCGTTTGTGATTTGTGGAAATTAAGAGGGAAATAGTCAACTATATAGGAAAATATAATGTAAAAGGGCTATGTCCCATAATTTAAAATAAATAAATAATAATAATTATTTAAAAAATTAATGAAAATTTTAAAACACAAATCATTAATTATTTTATTTCAATAAAAGTTTTACTTATCAAAAATTTAAAAAAGTTTAATAATTTTTTCAATTATCTGCTTTTTGCTTACAAATTACAAAAAATCTAAATTAAATAAATATTAAGCATACACTAACTTATATTAGCAAAATTATTTTTTATGGTTAAAAGAAAATGCAGAAATATCAAATATATGTTGATGAAATTTTAATTGTTTTATATCAAATTTAAAATGTCAATGTGTAGAAATTAACTTTTTAGGGATAATATAAACGTTTTAAAGATAATCACCCAATTTATTTTAAAAAATAACAGTTTTAAAGAAAATTACTGCGTTGCCATATCGTCCAAAAACCTAAATCCACTGATATGCTAAATCAGTTTATATAAATAAATCAACGGCCCTTAGTGATTTAAAACATTTGACTAAAGTAAAAAAACTTTTCATCTCAAGCGATAGATGGTTTTGGGCTATAATAGGTAATTTAAAATGAACTATAAAATGATTTATGATCTAAAATCTTAAAAGCTTATAAAATAAAATTTAACAATAAATACAGAATAAAAATTGAATGGTCGGTAAATTAAATAAAATTTTATTTTTATTGAAAAAAAAACTGTAAAAATGAATTTTGACCCCAATATCAAAATTTCTTTAACATAGAGATCATAATAGAAGCAGAATCAACATTATTTGGTGAGTTATTGAATATAATAAACAAGAAAAATATAATTTTCAAAAAGTGCAAAAACTACAAGTTAAATGAATAGAAAAAGTATCGTCATTTAGGCATCGGAATTTTTTTTTTCAAAATTGTTATTAGACTATAAACTAACAATTTAAACGATTCCCAAGTAAAAACAGCCAACTTGGTAAATATACAGCTTTCTACAAATTATAATAAAATTTTAACAATAACTTTTCCAGTTTTAAAATTAGAGTTCGGATTATTTTAAACCAAAGGAAATCCTTTGCATCACGTACATATATGTTCTTAACTTTGAATAGTATTGTTCACGGTCCCGTGAAATGGTTTTCTCTTATTTAACTTTATCCCGTTGAGAGTGTCAAAAGAGAGCCACTATTGTTAAATCTTCAATGCCATGTACATACAAAATAAATGACCGAAACGTGGGGAAGACAGTCGTCAAAACTGTATCCTTGCGATTTGTAAAAGGTCGTATGTCCGTCCTAAATAAAAGTTCACACAGGTCCACACTAAAAAGTGTTGTTTTATAACACTACAATTAGAGTAAATTTGTAGTGTAATTTTCCCCAAGTAAGCAAGTATGATTTAACACTATAGCACTAAGGATAGAGTAATTTTACACTGTATTAAAAAGTGCTAATTTACCTAAAATCGTGTACTTCTACACTTCCTGGGTAAAATTACACTTTTGTTTAGTGTAAATTAACACTACTTTGGAAAAGTTCTAATTTTATAAAATTCTATAGAAAGGTACATTTACTCCTCTAATTACTCCTCTAATTCGAACTTCTAGTGTAAATTAACACTATTATTTAAGTAAAACCTATTGGTGGTAGTGAATAAAACGAAAAGGTAAATAAAAAGAAATATTTATTTAGAACAAAAATCTATGACAATTATCAAAATCGGTGTCTTTTAAAATATAATTTTATAATTGGCTGGCTTAAGCAAAATGGTTCCTTAAAACGTAAAAGTTTTAGATCAATGCAATGTTTTACTGGCTGTCAACTTGTAAGCAATGAATTATCTTGAGAATTCATCAGTAATATATTGGTATTTATTGAGTATTAAGGCTTAAAGAAAAAGGAAGTATAATACTTACCAAAAAAAAATGTCTCTTATGGATTCACCGTAATTAAAATCTAACTGAACAAAAATCCCACACCTATGTAACAACCAAACATATGTATTAAAACGCATTTTATTACCAGTTTTTTCAGTCTATTTGCCACAATTGGTGTAATTTAACTTTAATTGTGATACAATGTGCACTAGTAGTGTAAAGAAAAGAGAGCTCTTAGTAACATCAAAACAGACAAAGAAATTGGCATGCACTGTAGTGTACATTTTGTCACTATTTAACACATTAAGGGGTAATAAACACTCGCATTAAGTTTTTCTACCCTTTTGATTTATTTTAATAATAAATAGTGTGAATGTACCAATGAATAATGTTCATATTTTTTAAATGTGTTTAATAAAGTTAATAAGCACTAAATGCTACCTAGTGTATTTTGTAGTGTAACTTTTACACTTACAAATCAACTCTAATATTTTTACCACTATAGTGTATACACTAAAAAATGTACACGGGCAAAATTTTTTACTGTGTATTTTAATTAAAAGTAATTTTTTTTTTTAGGTTTGGGCTGTCCAGGAAGATTTGACGGTTGGTCCTGCTGGCCACCGACTCTTGCAGGGGAAGTGGCAAAGCAGCCCTGCCCAGATTTTATACGAGGATTTGAACCTGCAAGTGAGTGTGTTGAACCCTCTGAAAATTACAATTATTTACGGGTCGGTTGCTACGAATGATAATTGCTTTTTTTTAACAAAAAAGGCTCCCAATTTATCCCTTGTTGTTTGTTTGATAAACATCTTTTAGTATACTATAGTAGTAATTCTGGACCACCAAAATAAACCCATTAATCTTATTTATATGACTAACTTATGAATGAATCTGGGAAGCATGCTTCTTTTGGGTATTATGTCAAACTAAATTCTTATCTAGGCAATATAAAAAAAATTTAAGAGTAATAAAAAATAGCAACAAAAATAAATAATTATGGTTAATTGGTTTATCTAAAAGGCTGTATAACATTATTGTTAACACAATAGTATCTAAGAAAGTTAACCGTAAGTTAAACTTAACCAACGATTGAAAAACCGGCCCTATATATATATATGTAATTTGTTGATAAGTAGCATCCACTAATAAAAAATATCAGTAAAATACTTAATTCCGAATTATAATCTCAAATTTGTATCCCATTTATCAGTACTGTGTCGTCAGTTTCATGTTCGATGTTTCGGTTTTTTTTCGCAAACTTCAATTTAAATTCTGCTTGCGCAGAACTTGTTTATTTAATGTAGTATAAACTCATATAAATTTGGTGTGGGCCCCATATCTAATAATTGAGATATCGGTATACCCAAAATTCACCAGCCGCCACTGATGTGTGGTATTATTTGATTTTAAGATATTTAATGTATAATATGCTCAAAGTTGCAATAAATCTTATGTTTTCCAATAAATTATGTATTTAACTAGTACCCTGGTATACTCGTCACTTCCCTTGTATTCTAATTCAGGAAACACAGATATTTCAGAAACTGTTTGAAAAAGTGACTGGCCCGGTCTGGAACAGTATATTTATTATATTATCTATGTTCTCATAACAAAATACTGTCTCCGAAAACTATATAAACAAAATTAGGTCAAAAGTTGACCAACTTTTGTAGAATCACCCATATGTTGAAATTTTATCACAATAAAGTGTATAGAGGATGTTATGTAAATAATGTAATATATTAAAATACTGAATACCTTTTGACATAAGGTGTAACGGAAAAATATTTAAAAAAATATTTTCTCAAAGATAAAGAAAAAATATGCATTAGAAGTTGCCAGTTGTAAAAAATTGTTACTAACAATGTTTCTTTCAAAAAATAAATAGAAACTCAATAAATACAAAAGTTGTATGCCCTTAAAGCTCCTTCAGCTTAAGCAATGATTAGAAAATTTAGTTCCTTTTTTAAAAACTCTATAACCACAAAATTAATTTTTTCATCGATCTTTTTCTTTTTGTTTACTCAGATGAAATTAGGACAAGTTCACAGGTTAAACTTTAAACATTCAATTTGTGTAAATAAATCCAAAAGCACTTCCCTTAGTTAAGATATTTACAATTTGAGCACATAACCTAAAATTTGAAAGGAATGCATTAGATTCTGTCATAAAAGTTGCCAGATTTGTTTGAATTTACCTTCATTACAAAAATGACATAATTAACAATCAATAAAAACGCCAAATTAACAATTTTCATTGATTAAATTTAAACAAAATCTGGCAACTTTTTTTGACAGAATCTGGAAACGCTGGTTACATAATAAATTAAATTAGGCAGATTAGCTTAAAGTTCCTAGTCGATCAGTGGCGCACTTTTTGGTAGGATAAATGATATTATAAATTATTTATAGTCTTTAGAATTTAGAAGAAAAAAAGTTTCAGGTGCTTCTTTATGGACCCTAAGGAACCCATTTTAATATATTTCATTAATTACATAACACCCTGTAGATGAAGCTGCAAAGTTGTAAATATCTTTAAAATCAGTGCAGTCAATGTATTGATTTTTTTGTCTAGTTTAAAACATAATAAATGTATATCTTCATGCTGAATAGCAAATTGATTTATTACTTTAGATGATGCATGGCTTTTCTCGCGTAGGTACATATATCATTGTTTATTATAGACAATACCCAAATGAGACTTCAAAACCACAACGTCTATTTATATACCGGGTGTCTATTAAAGTACATGCTCTGTAAGTCTGGACCTAAAAATATATCAAAAGTTTCTAGGATATGTGGAGGAAATTAGAATGGCGACAAAAATGACCCCATTGGATAGCTCTTGAAAACTGCTATTTAAAATTGTCGTTATTGGAGCCATACAAATCCTCATTTTATGAAATAAAATCATAAAATGTCTCTTTTATTATTGGTTTCTTATTTATTGACCAACTCTCAAAATATGAATTAGTCAGAAATGACTAATTTAATAGTTATTAGTGGCTTCTTTTTCACTTGTACCATGGTTAACCATGGTATCCCCAATTTTAACAGCCAATTCGTATGTAAAATTTTCCCCTGAATCCGAAAATGTTAAAAGTTAAAAGATTAGAAAAGTTTTTGAGATACAGTAAATTTTCCATTTAATATGGAATTGACTATATCTCAAAAACTGCTCCACTATCATAATTTTTGACGGTATTTTCGGATTCAGGGGACAATTTTACATAAGAATTGGCTGTTAAATTTTGGGATACCATGGTATTCCATTTTTAACCATGGTACAAGTGAAGAAGCAGCTACTAATAACTATTAAATTAGTCATTTTTAGAGAGAAAATTTGAATGGTCCAATTTATTTTCCGGATTAAACAATACGTGTACTAGAAAATTGAAAAGAAATTGAGTTAGCTAGGATAAAAATGTATTCCATTTTTAGCAGGATGGAACACCAGCTATTATGACTTTGCTGCATCAGAATGAACCAGAATAGTGAATCGATAGAACAAATAAAATGGCCTCGCATATCTCCAGATCCGACACCATTAAACTTTTTTTATGGGGTCACTTAAAATCTTGAAAATACTGCACAAATAATGGAATACAAGTCAGGCTCAATTAAGTGGAACAAAACATTTTTTATTATAAAATAAAACATGAAGACTACCGACTATGAACCATTTTTCATATTGCTAAGTTTATTCGGGAGTATTTGTAATTAAAAATTGTACAGGTTCATTTAATGCTGAACTTTTACCTTTATTAGTGCTATATCATCAAAAAGGGTGGTTAGAATTAATGGAATCCATCTAAAGCATCAAATTGTCCAATTGTGTAGCAACCGTATACTGTCGAATAAGTAGAATTGCATTCCGAATGCATTTCGTAATTGGACTTTTTTTGATTCATCAGTGATTTTAATGGGATACAAGATGGCAATAATTAAACAGATTAATTAAGATAGTTCGGTTTACGGTCAAAAGCGGGTTGATTTTCTGAATACAATTTGCGCATTAAACAATAAAAAGGGTTGAATACCTGAAGCAAAACAATGAAATTTGTGTATGACGTTTGATAAAAAACCGCTATAAATTTTGTACAAATAAAAGGTACATAATTGTTTTTTAAGATTTATTTTTACCTATTTTATCTAAACTTATTAATAAAGTCATCTAATTCGTCTATTGGTATTACAATTGAACAATTTATCCACTATCTTAATACATTTTAATATCAAACTTTTGTAACAAAAAATATTCTTACATTGGATGAGATAGGTCGACAATTTTCGAAAATTAAGATAAATAGCGCTATAGCTTCCACGCTTCTACGGAAATCCTTAAGAGCCGACATATGTTATTTATAAAAGCAATTTCCTGTTGGATCATACATTTAACAGTACAAACGGGCATATGTAAAACTGGACCCTTAAGTGCATAACTCTATTTAAGTTTTAAATCCCAAATTAGTTATGAAACGTTTTAGTAATGAAATTATTTTTGTAAAAGTATATTTTTACGAGGATAAATCCGCACTTTAATTTCTTTTAATTTGGTTTAAAGCAAGTTATGAAACATGAAAAACAAAAATTATATTTTTTTCAAACGTTTGTTTTAAATGAATAGGTACGTAACACAAAAGCTTCAACGGATTGTTTTTGATATATGTATGTCACATGCATTCATTAGTTCAGATTTACCTTTTTGAAATTTTATTTTACGGTTTAATTAAGTAGTTAACTTTTTGACTTAAAAAAAAACATTTAATTTGGGTAAAATTTAAACAAAAATATTAGATTTGCACTTTTTATTATTTCCAGACTTCGTCTATTATAAATGTGAAGATGATGGAAGCTGGATATTCAATGTGGAGAAAAATTATAGTTGGGTGGACTACAATACCTGTGTAAACTTGGAGGATCTTAATGTAAGTATTAAATATAATATAATTTTAAAAAATACCTACACACGAAAACTATTAAAACAATGCATGTTATTATTTTAAAGGTGTAGTTTACATTTAAAATTCTAAACTAGAATTTTTAATAAACATTGTTTATTATAATACCTTTTATAATCGGATTTTTAATTAAAATTATGATTTTAATTTGCAGTTTCGAACAAACATAACTATCATAAACTCCGTGGGATATGGAATTTCATTTCTGGCTCTTCTAGTTTCATTAGCCCTGCTGTTTTATTTTAAGTAAGTATAATATTAATTAAAAAGCACTAGGTTAAAAAATAGCCAATATTTTTTTTAACATAGTTTGAAAAGTCAATACTTACTAAATGTTTATGTTCGTGGGATCCCCTGCATTCTCTCTTGTATAATATTATTTCATTACTATAACTCAGAAAAAAGGTGCGATAGTCTTAGAAAAAATAGTAGGGTGAGCCAAAAAAACTAACCTATCGGATTTATGGGTTAAAATGAACCTACATACCGAGAAAAAAATTTCCCTGCAAGGCAAAATTTTTTGCTCAATTTTAAAAGGTGTCGGTGACTATAACTTTTGAACCGTTTGAGATAAAAGGACTGCAGTTTTAGGGATTTTTTACACTTTTCAAAGCTTTCAAACATACGAATTTTTGAATTAAAAAAAATAATCCTGGTATAGATTCTTTGGGAAATTTTATGCTCTACAAGAATCCGCGACGTAAAAAATTTTATCTCAAACGGTTCAAAAGTTATAGTCTTTTTAATGAAAAAAGATTTTTTTACGTGTTATTTCAATGGAAAACTTAGAATGCTCACCGACACCTTTTAAAATTGAGCAAAAAATTTTGCCTTGCAGGGAAATTTTTTGCTCGGTATGTAGGTTCATTTTAACCCATAAATCCGATAGGTTAGTTTTTTTGGCTCACCCTAAAAATAGTGTATGCAACTCCCATGTAATAGGCTACTAGGACACTCAAACTTATTCTCATGCTCATGTCTGCATCGTATAATACACAAATGATGACTTTATACGCCTGTAACTTTTAGAATATTGACGATACAAAAAATTCGCCTAAAACTTATTTATGGCCCATCAGACAAGCTAAAAAATTGCCATTGGACTTTTTCGTCTAACTTCAATAGTTTAGCTGAAAAAGGCAAAAAACGTAAAATTTTAAATTTTAAGCTCTGTAAAAAATCAAATAATGAAAATAGAAATTCGGCTTAATAAGATTTTTTCGTCCAAATTTAATGCTTTGTAAGATTTGGTCATGGATTTTATGGAAAAAAAAATTTCTGTGCTATTTAAGCGGCAAAACTTCAGATTCGATGAAGGACCTCTTAAAATTGAAATTATGAGCTCCGCTTTTAACAGGATATTTGTTAGGACATATTCTACGATATTTTGGGTGGAAAGCAAGAAAAAAAATATCGAGTTTTTTTGGCACACCCTATATATATATATATATATATATATAAATATATATAAACATTCTTAATGAAATGTACAACCATGTTGTAAAATATTTTAAAATATGATTACCTACTTAAATAATTATTTCAAACATAAAAAAAAACATAATAAATACATAAATATTGAAAAAGTTAATTTTATCTTATTTGGCTAGGCTTCCCTTCCCTTCTTCAATACCAAAAACGAAAGAAGGTCACGTAGAGAAAAAAATATTTAAAGAATAATTTTTGCCGCGTAAATTTACCTCTCAGACCACTGTGCGTCGCTTGAATATCCAGCAAAGCAAACGTTGCGGTTTTAATTAATAGCATGCTGTCCAAAATTTATTATTTATTAAATACAAAGGTATATTTTAATAGGTCAAGCTGGAGCCTAATCCCCAATGTAAATAAATATTTAATTTTATAACCTAACAAAGGTTTTTTAGGTATAATTTAAAGGCACTTATTTATTTTTCCATTTTATGTAAATGAATAAAATTATTTATAATATATGATGCTTAAATAATAAGACTATTTTTTTACAATGTTTTTTTTCTAAATAAATCTTTTAAAATGAAATTTTGTTCACGCACTTTAAATTTTACTTTGCCATACCATTTTGAGCGAATTTACATATTTTTAGGGAACCTTTTTGGATAACATAATTTTAAACGTAATAACTTCGAATAAACGTCACATGTTATGAAGAATTATTTAATTTAAAAAATTCCCTCTTAAGATTTTCATATTTATTTGAATTAAATAAGGTTAGGTTCATATACAGGGTCCTGCACCTAATATCCCGTCTTCTGCAGGTAAGTAAGTAATTAATTAATTGAAACTCTTGAGTATATAAATCACTGAGGCTCAAAAGAGGGGAGGTTAAATGCATTTTTTATTATTTTTATATTATACCCACCCCTTGGCAAAATGTCTGTTAACCAAAAATAACCATATAGGGTATACAACAGTCAAATAAACTTAGTATTAATAAAAAAACGTTTTTTAGACTTACTCTTCACATTGCATACAACTAAGTTTAAATGAAATAAATTTTCCTGAGATCCTAAAATATACGGAAATATGAAACATTAATCCAAATGCCCTTTTAATCTTTGTATGAGGATTCGTGAAAAAAAATAAAAAGACATATCTATAAATTATTTAGTCTTTGGGTGCTTTGATCTTGATGTGTCTATATGCACCTCAAAAAACCTATTCGTGTTCATATAATTAATTTGAAATTTATACGGTGTATGCTTTCATCCTAAAGGAAATCTACAAATTATACAGAAAGCGTCAGATCAAGAAACTTTTCGTCTTGGTAAATCATTCCCTATCCACCCCTTTTCTACTGTCCACGACTGTATAAAATCGGCAATATTTTAATCTGTTTTTTGCAGCGGGTCTGCATTTTTTAGAAGTCATAGTTTTCACCACCGAAATTAATCAAATTCAGATTCAAAAAAAGTTGAAAACGTCTTGAATTCACATCTTTTGTTTTGTTTACGTTGTCACTTAAAGTGTCTTGTCTTGATACTCATATTTCATTCAGAACAAATAAGAAATTGTACACCTACGCTAACAATGTAGATTAACTTTTAAAGAAAATTCAGTTTATTTCATATTTGCAGAACAATTGGAGTTATATTAATTAAATATTAAAAAAAAAATAATATTTTAGGTTTATTATACCCATATTAATTATAATGTACAAATATTTGTTAAGGAGTACAACATAGCAAATTAAAATACTGATTTTGTTGAAGCTGAGTTTTTAATGAAACTACTTTATATGTCACTTGTGGACCATAATAAATAGTATTCACTAAATTAAATTTTTCAGATTTATTGTTTTTATCAAAACTTTCAACAATCTAAAAGCCATTAAGCGTTAGGTTTCCCCATACAAGTTTAAAGCAAAAAGGAAATAGTATACAATCGCATTGGAAAACTTTAACACCTTGATGAGTGAACTTAAATTAACTCCTGCTAAAAAAGTTTATCCCAGATTATCCTCGAAATACCATTTAGATGTTCTGTTTAGGTTAATTGTACTGAATAACTTTTTTACGGCTTTTTAATTGCATTCTTAACAAAATTAAATGATTCCTTGATTGTCCATATTAATTTAAGAGTTAATTAAATTGGCTTGGGCAATAAAGATCCATTTAGCCTGGTTGGATAAAGTATTAAATTGTTTCTTATTTAATTATTTGCGACATTTTATTAGGCACCCTTAAGATTAATGGATTAGAAAATTAAATACGGTGAATAGAATTCCTACATCAAAGCAACTATTTTATTTTTTATTTGTCAGGATAAAAGTAAAGATCAAATGGGTGAGTATATAAGTTTACAACAAAATAAACAACAATAAAAAGACCTATTGGCATTATGGCAAAAAACTAATTAAACATTTTACTTTGGTTTTTGTTACCTTTGATATCACATGTCTAAAATTTAAATTTGCAACTTGGGATAATTATCCCTACAAAAGGTTAATGTTGCGGCATATTTTATCATTTTAAAGCCTTAATCACCTCGTCAAAATATTTCACCTCGCATAATTTTACCCTACTTGAATATAAATTTGGTTTTACTGCCGTAAATATGCAAGTTCGAGAAAAATTTTGAGGTAAATATATATAAAAACATTTAAAATTATTTTAAATGTTCACAATGTGTTCCGCTATTTGCTTAACAATAATACAAATTTATCTCAAACTCTTGTCAAACTTCTTGAAAAGTTTTAAGAGTTATCTGCCTACATTCTTAAACTATTCTTCGATTGAGTTTTTGAAGGTTCTCAGGTTGTGTTTTGTAGACTTGGGTTTTTAAACGAGTCCATAGAAAAAAATCAAATGTCCTTAAATCTGTAGATTTTGCTGGCTATTCTTGAGCACCTCTTGTACCAATTCATTTCTTGGGAAACCTTTGGTTCAACCATTCTTTGACTGGTAAAGCATATTGAGGAGAAGCTCCATCTTGTTAGTACAAATAAGTACATAAGGAAACATGTTTCTTTGTTTGTCCATCGGGTTTTCTAATGACTGGATAATAAGTGGGTCTATAACATTTTCAGAAAAATTAGTATATAATTGTCCAGTCAAGTTTTCTTTGATAAAAACCGGTCCAATTATTTTGTCGCCAATATAAGCCCATACAGTTTTGTGAAAATACATTGTACCAGTACCTACAAATTGTAGGCTACAATACAGGTTTATTTACAAATCCATTTAGAAAAAAAGTAGTTTGGTCGCTGATAATAATATTTTTTAATAAATTAGGAGCTACCGCAATTCCTTGCGTCATTTCCTCACAACTGGATTCTTCTATCGTAGTCATATTTATAAGGAAAAACTTATTTAGTTTTAGCACCTTATGAACGAAATCAACAAAATTATTTGTTAAAGCAGACACTTTTTGAATAATTGTGGATCCCACAGCAAAATGGCTTCAATGACTTCAATTTGTACACTGTCTAAAATATCTGTGGTGTAAAGAGTAATCTTAAAATGGTGTCAAAATCCAACACCAAGTGTTGTTAATATAAACACCATGAATTAAGGTTGAAAATTTTATATACAGGAAACACCAAAACGGTGTTTATCTAAAAATATTTGAGAAGTGCACCTACACAGAAGAAAAGGAATAGTTCATTTAACTATTTTAATTTAGTTAGTTATTTTATTTTTTTTAAATTGGTTAAATTAACCCAGAAAACTTTAGTGAAACCAACCCGCTGTATGGTTCAGTTTACTAAATATGTTGTTTGTAAAATTACTTCAACCTAAAGCACTCTATTA